TTCACCTTTGTCTCTCCAAAACCTGGCACAGTGCTTTGGTCTGTGCTCAGTAGATGCCTGCTGAAGGCACCAAGAACATTACAGTCCAAGAGGGCATCTTTTCTGAGGTCTGCTGTCCCAGAGCCTGGCACTGGGCTTCCAGGGCAGATTGGAAATTGTAGAGAACCCAAGAGAAGGGCTACCGGAAACCTTATTATATATAACAATCTGGTGTTTGAAATTTCAATATGCCTTCACGTGGTCATCGTGGGAAAAGTCAGAATTGTGTTGGACTTCCTTGAAGTTTGTAACTGTTCTTACTTTAATTACATTTTGCAGGGCCTGGAGGGTGGGGTTGTTCATAATCTTTTCATTGCTTCAGCCTCCAAAGAGCTTAAAATTGCCCCTCTGAGACCTCCCTCTGCAACCCTCCAGCATCTAAAAACTCTCTCACCTCAGGGGGAAAAAAGTGAAGATTCTATTCTTTCTCAGTTCTGCCAATTTAAGACATGATTTCAGAGAAATCTCTAAGCCATTGTGTGCCTTGCTTCCTGCAATAGGAAGGTGGAAAGAATAACCATTTAGCACCTCATGACTGGTGAGAAATAGTTGGTGGTTAATGAATCAATGCAAAGGCTGTTTCAGATACTGTTTTCATTATATGCCCCATTTTCGACTGGTGAGAGTAAAAGGCCCAGGGGTTGGTAGAGGAAGGCATTTCAATGCCCCAGGATAGAGAAGCCAACTCTTATTGGTCCTCTTGGTTGGGGGGGGGGGGCGGTGCGGGGAGCGAGATACCTGGAGATGGAGTATGCCACCCTACAAAGGCCCCTCCACTTCCCCAGGATTTCCATGCAACATCAGAAGCAATGATGTTCAGCCAGCTCCCTTTAAAGAGTTGTATTTGTTTTGAATTATTCAATTATTTAATTCCACCAGAGCACCCAGTTGTTACAAATAACTCATTTACCCTCAACATCTCTTTTGGAATTATCCCAGAATGAATTTCTTTTGATTTTTCAAACAGTTCCTCATTATCATTTTGAACATACACGGAGCACCTTTATAAATTTCTTTTGTCTAATGGATGTTAGTATTATTATATTCTGTTCTATGGATGGAGATCTAATTTGGTTCTGTGACTTCAGGTTATGGTCACTCCAAAAATGACCCACCAACTTCAGAGGCCCACTTAAAAGGGTCTCTACAATGTACCGCAAACCCATTTATTCAATAATCATTTATCAAGGGCCCAACTAAGATCCCTGGTGATAGAAAGGTTATAAATGCATATAAACTAGAGTCCCTGCCCTCAAGGAGCTGAATCCAAGATTATTAGTCCACCAGAAGTCTATAATCACCGTGTTTTGTTCAACACTTCCCGCTTTTGTTGTTTTACTTACTTCACAATGCAGAACCTACAGGCAGTCCTGAAACAGAGGTATGTGCTCTCTTATGTTGCCTCAACACATCATCCCTTTGGCAGCATTTGGACAGCACAAGGTCTGGAGCTGGGAAGGAGAGGTCCGCCCTCCTCCCCAGGGAGACCCATACATAACAAATGGAATGAAATGGAGCAGCTTATGCCCTCAGTGAGCTACTAACCCACTTCTCTTCTGTGGCTTCTTTTGACCTTCAGATTTGTCCAGTAAACTACAGCATTTAAGTTCTTTCTTATTCGTCACTCCATTAGATTCTTGCAAGAACCCCATAAGGCTTTAAGAGTGTGAACCCACGTTGCAAATGAAAAAACTGAGGCCCAGAGACGATAAGTCACCTGCCAGAAAGGTCACACAACAGCAAGTGGGAGCTTAAGACCCCAGGCCTTCGGAGACCGCTAGCGCTGGTTGTACCCCACCCCTCTGACAAACCCAGTGTTTAGTTCTTGACAGTGACCAATGTCACAAAGTTGATGCCATCATTTCCACGAATGCCCCTTTGCCCTTTTCACGATATAAGCAGAAAGCTTTAAGTTTGGAAGGCATTTTCCAAGAATAACTTAGAACTTCTTCTCTTCTTGACTGCGCTTTCAACTTAATCTCTGATCTATTTCCAACTTTGGACATGGGATTTCTGAATTTACACAAGCAGATGAGGGAAGCCACCTGCTTCATGGTAGTGATCTCAAAACTGAAGGGATGCGAGTTTTTTAAGGGCACTATTTACATAACAAAATGAGATGGAGTAGGGGGGGAGGGGTGAGACACCATTTTTCTCAAAGGTCAGACCCTACTTGATTTGTTAACAACCAAAAACTTGAACTCAAATGTTATTCCCTTAAAAATGTTCTTCCCAGTAAAAGAGCAAGTGCTTTCCATGAGATTAAAACAGTCAAGGACCTTCAGACATCAAAGAGGAATATTTGGGAACTAAAAGTAAAGCAGCCCTGGATAACCTTGAAACTTTTACATTTTTCCCAATTAAATAATGAATAAAATACATGGGACTGCTTTAGCCTTATTCTTCTTTCCCAGTTCCTCTCAAGCTGAAAGGCAATTTATTTTTTTTTTAATTTTTTTTTAACGTTTATTTATTTTTGAGACAGAGAGAGACAGAGCATGACTGGGGGAGGGTCAGAGAGAGAGGGAGACACAGAATCCGAAACAGGCTCCAGGCTCTGAGCGGTCAGCACAGAGCCCAACGCGGGGCTTGAACTCACGGACCGCGAGATCATGACCTGAGCTGAAGTCAGGCGCTTAACCGACTGAGCCACCCAGGCGGCCCTGAGAGGCAATTTAAATTGTAAAATACCAAAGTCAACTGTAGATAACTACCTATTATAAGTATGCATTTATTGGGAAGACACAGCCCCATAAATAGTGTTGCCAAGACGAGATCCATGAAATACCCGCTAAGAAAAATTTACCTAGTTCCCCCCACCCCATGGGCGAGGTCTACCCTGTGGTTAAAATCCACTGAGATCACCAAGTCAATGAGGGAAATCAAACTCATTTTATTCACAGGTGTACATTTTTGTGCCATTGTATGTAGGTGGTTAAAAATGATGTTCAATAGAACACCAAACATAATCAAAACTGAAAGAAAATCAGTTGCTATTTCAGCATTACAACAAGGAAATGCAAATTTAAGGAAGAAATTTTCATTAGCCCAGTTCCTCTGTGACTAGGTATTAAAACAGATTTGAATGCAAGGCACCTCACCGTTTGGGGAGCTCCACGATATAAAAGGTGTGAGTTATAGCTGAATCCCCTGCTGTTTTTTGCTTCTCCGTTTCTACCCCCTTAAAAGTTCACGAAGATAAATCTGGAAATATTTGAGAAGTGTCACATTTGGAAATTATTCAGAATCTTGCCATCTTACAGACTTTTTCCCTGGGGTGAAGTGCCTGCCTGCCCTTCATTACCAAGGGCATTTGTTTAATCACAGAATCTTTGTTTCTCAAGAGATATCTGCTGCTTCTATTTATTCGCCCCTGAAGTCACAATCCTTTGTCACAGGACAATCATTTCCACAGCGACCAACTGTGATGTCACAACTGAGGGGAGGAGGAATGTTTAGAAAGAAAAGAGAAAGAGAATGTTCTTTTCAACAGGCAAAGGCTTCTGAGTTTTAAAACCAGGGCTTCACCAATCAAAATATTTTAGCAGAAAGATCCCATGACAAAGCTGCACTTCTTCAAGGTCTCAGCTGTGATGGTTACAAAGTATCTCAGCAGAAGTTGAAGGGTTGCATGTTGTGGGTTTAGGAAGGGGTAAGAGTTTCATTTTGCTTCATTCTAATTCTGTGCCAGCAATATCTGCCAGTAAAATACATTAAACATATTCCAGAAAGAGTTGATTTAGTAGATGAAAAATGTTTCTCCTGAGACCAGAGAAGGTACATTTTCTTACTATCATTTCCGTAATAGGAACAATGTTTATATTTCCTCAGCCCATGCAGTGTCTCTAACGTATTCATGTTCTTTCTCCAGAGGCAGGAATTGAGGTATTTGAGATTTTGTTTTTAGCTACCGCATCAAGCACTTAAGATCTGACAATTGTGATGTGTATTCTCACTTGGTATTAAAAACTAAGAGCTTCAGTGTTTCCATTTGATTAGAGCCTCTCAGCTTGGTGGCTGATTAAGCAGGAACAGGGAGAAAGCAACTTTCTTCAAAAATACAGCATCTCGGTTAATGTAGTGTAAGATTATTGACGGGTGTAGTCACATAATTTTTATTAAATTGAAGAGATTAGCTCTGCTGAAGAATCTCACCGTGGCAGCAAACCCTCACTGTAATAATGAGACCTGACGCTTCTCAAACCCACTACAGGGCCCCAAATGGTCTTTTTCTTCCCCTTAAATATTCTTTCAGTTTAAGGAAGGGAAGAGCTTCATTCACATATTCAGCATATTTACCTGAAATTGAGTGCACATGGGTTTTTGTGGGTGTTTTTTTTTTGAGAAGGATGATAGAAAATCAGCATAAACATTTGTAATGTGAGCTTTAACTGTTTTCTTTTCACTGTAAATGACACACGTGCTCTTTCCTCCAGTTGCCTGAAATGCAAACACAGCTTTTCTCCAGATAGAGGCCACGGGCCCCACAAAGAAGTCATAAGAAAAGACCCTGGAAGCCTAGAGGGTTGTGCCATTTGTTCATTTAACAGGCATAAAATTGTTGCCTCTTCCTCCCCCATACTCAAAATATCTCCATTATCCCAATGTTATGAGGGTAAGATGGAAAAAAGATGAAGGGGGAAAGGAGGAGGGACAAATTCTGGAAATGAAAAATCGTCATATTCCAGGGGCTGAAACAAAGTAGAAAGAGCATATACTTGACAGAGGTTAAAGCACTTTTTCAGAACACAAAGAAGCAACAAAGGAAGTCTATTTGCATACTTCACGGGGGGGGGGGGGGGTTAATTAGTTAACGTTTGGCAAGCTGCGCCCCAAGACAAGTTGTGCAGAGGTGCTATTGTCACTTATTACTGTTATTAATTAACGGGGTGAACTTCAAACCAAAATACGCCTCGCAGTGTGCTTTCATGTCTTAAAACCGTATGCGATGTCTATTGCAGGAGTGATTCGGGAAAGTTACCTCAAAGGCCATGACCAGCTCGTCCCCGTCACCCTCTTGGCCATTGCGGTCATCCTGGCTTTTGTCATGGGGGCCGTCTTCTCCGGCATCATCGTCTATTGCGTCTGCGACCACAGGCGCAAAGACGTGTCCGCCGTGCAGCGCAAAGAGAAGGAGCTCACCCACTCGCGCCGGGGCTCCATGAGCAGCGTCACCAAGCTCAGCGGCCTCTTTGGGGACAGCCAGTCCAAAGACCCGAAGCCGGAGGCCATCCTCACACCACTCATGCACAACGGCAAGCTCGCCACTCCCGGCAACACGGCCAAGATGCTCATCAAGGCTGATCAGCACCACTTAGACCTGGCGGCCTTGCCCACCCCGGAGTCCACCCCAACACTGCAGCAGAAGCGGAAGCCCAGCCGCGGCAGCCGCGAGTGGGAGAGGAACCAGAACCTCATCAATGCGTGCACCAAGGACATGCCCCCCATGGGCTCCCCCGTGATCCCCACGGACCTGCCCCTCCGGGCCTCCCCCAGCCACATCCCCAGCGTGGTGGTCCTGCCCATCACGCAGCAGGGCTACCCGCATGAGTACGTGGACCAGCCCAAAATGAGCGAGGTGGCCCAGATGGCGCTGGAGGACCAGGCGGCCACCCTGGAGTATAAGACCATCAAGGAGCATCTCAGCAGCAAGAGTCCCAACCACGGGGTGAACCTCGTGGAGAACCTGGACAGCCTGCCCCCCAAAGTCCCCCAGCGGGAGGCCTCCCTGGGCCCTCCGGGAGCCTCCCTGTCTCAGAACGGCCTGAGCAAGCGGCTGGAAATGCACCACTCCTCCTCCTACGGCCTTGACTATAAGAGGAGCTACCCCACGAACTCGCTCACGAGAAGCCACCAGGCCACCACTCTCAAAAGAAACAATACTAACTGCTCCAATTCCTCCCACCTGTCCAGAAACCAGAGCTTTGGCCGGGGAGACAACCCGCCCCCCGCCCCGCAGCGGGTGGACTCGATCCAGGTGCACGGCGCGCCGCCCTCCGGCCAGGCCGTGACTGTTTCGCGGCAGCCCAGCCTCAACGCCTACAACTCGCTGACGAGGTCGGGGCTGAAGCGCACACCCTCGCTAAAGCCGGACGTACCCCCCAAACCCTCCTTTGCCCCCCTTTCCACATCCATGAAGCCCAATGACGCGTGTACATAATCCCAGGGGGAGGGGTCAGGTGTCGAACCAGCGGGAAAGGCCAGGCGCGCTCAGCTCGGCGAGGCCCTCCACTGCCTGAGTACCCACCAGACCAAGATGGCCGCGGCGGAGCAGAGGACGCTGGGTCCCCCTCGGGGATGCCGGGGGACTCTGGGAAATTGGGCCACGTGGTTTGGTGAAGGTTTGCGACGCGGGACTCACCTCCATTCTCGGACTTCACTCTCCCCGAACACCGTGCAACAGGTCGGACTCACGAAAGACTTAAATTAGCATCACAAACATGAGCCAAAAGCACATAGCCACCCACCCCCACCCCCCACACGCATGCGCGCGCGCACCCGCGCACGCGCACAGGCTCTCACACCCACGCGCGCGCGTGCACCCACCCACATGTGCGCGCGCGCACACACACACACACACACACACACACACACGCACACACAGGTGAACGACTGCAACGTCTTTGTCCATGACCGCACCGGGCGCTGCCGAACAGGGCTGGCGTTCCACCTGCAAAACACAAATACATTTTTAAAAATCATGAAAATTCAAAAGACAAAAAAATAAAGGATTCATTGATAATTCTAACTCAGACTTTAACAATGGCAGAAGTTTACTATGCTCAGATACTGTGAAATGCCCACCAGTGTTACAGCTTTCTGTTATTAGCAGATTAATGCCATGTTGGGCAACTATGTCATAGATTTCTGCTCCTCTCTTTTAATGAAATAACGTGACCGTTAACGCAAGTAACTCTTTATTTATTGTTCACCCTTTTTTTTTTCCTTAAGGAAAGGACTCTTCCACATACCATCCTATGAACAGCTCTTCAGAAAGCCCCTTGAAAGTTAAACTATTTAACGTGAAATCCATTAACTGGAATAATTGAGTTTATTTTTACAATAAATTCACTGAGTAAATAAGTTGGAGCTGGAATTCTGAGCTTTGTGTTTGGACTGTCTGATCTCTAGCTAAAGGAAAAAAGTTGACAGGGGAATATTTATTCAAATCAACCAGTTAATTTGCTGGTCAGGTCTCTGGCCTGTAACATGCAAAAAATTAATTAGCTTAAAAGTCCTTCCAGATCCTAACTTCGAAAGCAACCGGGAGAGGAACTTTTAGAATGACACATCCGCGTCCCATTTCTGCCAACATGGCTTTGTCAGTGGTTCCTACTTTCTGTGAAGGCACCAGCTTGTGATACCCATCTCATTTCACCTTGCATGTGAGACCGCAAACAAAATCCACTAAAGGTGTGAACTAATTAATACGCTGGCTGCTACTTTGCATAAATTAATGGTTTGCTCACACGGGTTTTTCGTGGGGTTACATCTGTGAATAGCCTCTTTTCCACATGTAAATTTGTGCCTTACACCCTGAGTTGTGTACACTTGTAAACTGTCGTTATGATACACTTCCCCCCCCCTTTTGAAATAAATGCAGATATTTATTTGACCCTCCCTCCCCCCACCCCCACTCCAGCCCTCTGGAAGATTAGCATCTAGCAGATGGAAGAAGAATGTAGTGGTGATGGTAATAATCCTGCAGCCTGGGAGAGCTGGGCGGCACCACGCCCTCCGATTCACACTTCCTTCTAGTGCCAACTCCACCCACCCCTTGGCTGTGCTACCAAGCATGGCCCCCAGTGTTGTGGGCGGCAATACCCTCCCTCCAGCGTTCCCTCCTTCCCCTAGATTCTCAGATCATTTCAACATGGTGATATCCTCATTGGCCAGCAGAGAAGGGTCTAACGTCCCAGCTCCTCATTTCTGCTGTGTCCTCTGGCTGGAGAACACGCTGTGTGCGGTTGCCAGGCACCTGGGAGGTGTCTCCAAGCCATGGGCTCAGCACACACGTGCGCTGCACACAAAGAAATGAGGTGGAAATAGATGCAGGCGGGCTGGTCCCTGCTATGATGGATGAGTAACTCCAAGTACAAAGCCAATCACAACGGATGCTGCAAAAACATTGACTGGGGTGGAAGATTTTTAATTTTTTAAAAACTTTCTTCATCCTTGTGTTGTTATTGTTTGTACGGGGGCAGGGTGGGAGGGTGTGTGCTCCCCCCCTGGTTTTCATTAGCTGGAGCACACAGAGGGGACTTTTGTTTACTCTATCATGAACAAAAAAATTGTCAACATACTGTAAACAGTGAGCATTGTTTTGGGTTATTGTGTTCTTAAACAGTTAAACAGTATATTTGGTGGCCTCTTTATTTCTTTTTATTTCCAGTTTGATCTTCTGGGTTTAGTCTTGTCTTTAAAAAAAAAAAAAACTTTCAAAAAAAGACTATTTTGGACAATTTTGAGGTGGCTGGTGAAAACGCGGTACCTCCATAATGAGAGACCTAGGTGTGTAATGAGGACACGTGCATATGGCCTTCCTTTCCTGTAAACATCCCTTGCAGCTTTGCTGCCGTGCAGGCTAGGTTTTTGCTGTTTTGTGTTGTCCTGTTTTTATTTTGTTTTGTGAGCGGAATCAATGTTCACCTGAGAATTCCGTGCCCTGAAACCATGAAGTCTTTTCTAGAAACTGGGATAATTGTTTTTTACCTTTTCTTTGGAAATGCAGAACTTACTTAGGAAAGTGATGGGTATACACCCCCCTGCTACCTTCTCCCCCACACTTGACTCCCAAGAGCATAGGCCACGCAGCACCCACTGTCTCGTCCCCCATGCGTGGGCATCATTGCCTCAGCCGTGTTACGGAGACCTGTGCCAAAACTTCCATCCCACATCCCCACAACTCCTCACTTGCTGTGTTCTCCCTGAAATGCCCACTTGTATTGAGCTGGTCTTTTGCATTTAAGCATTTCCTTCCCCCTTTTTTTTGTCCCCACTGCGCGTGGGGGGAGGGTCCATAAACCTGAGTGTGCCTTTGCTTTCCACCCTTGCTAGACACTGGTAGATGCAACAAACTCAGATTTATATTTGTTGTAAAGTTGTAAAAATATTGTGACGTCACCCATTTTCCTTCCATCTCCACATCCCCTAACATCTGATTCATGACTTAATGTATGTTGTAAAATGGGAAGAGAAAAAAAAAAAGAAAAGA